CCGAAACCTTAAACCCGAAGCCCTAAACCCGAAGCCCGAAATCCAAAACCCGAAACCCTAAACCCAGAACCATAAACCCGAAGCCTAAGCCCGAGACCTTAAACCCAAAGCCTGAAGAGAGGTTCTCTCTGCTATGATGGCTGCTCGGGTGATGCCAGACACCATCAGCTACAGCAGCCTCATCAGCGCCTGCGCTCCTCCCCTGCACATATTCTAGGGGTTTAGGGGTTTAGGCGTGAGGTTTTTAGGGTTTAGGGTTTAGGGGTTTAGGCGTGAGGTTTTTAGGGTTTAGGGTGTAGGGATTAGGGTATTTATATGTGTTCAGTGTCTAGGGCTTCTAGGGCATGGCAATACTTCGTTGGTTGAGAGATGGCTTCTGGAAACTGCTGCATGTTCCTGGAGTCTCCTCCTAGATGCCTGGAGGATGCCGCTGATTATGAGTTAGGATACCCAAACCTCGAACCCAAATTAAACCCGCTAATAATGGGATTCAGTCAAGTCCTTCCCCTACTTGAGGAGAAAGCAGCAAACTGGCAACTGGCGGTTCATTTCCTGGTCATCATGCACTCTGTGAACGTCGCGGCGAATGTGATAACTTTCAACGCTGCCATCAGCGCATGTGGGCGGAGAGGGTAACATTAATGTATTTGTGGTAATTATCGGGTTCAAGGATGTCATGTTTCCTTTAGAGTTCATTGTTTAGGGAACGAACTTTCAGAATGAGCATCCCAAACTCTGAACTAGCCGATCCCATGAGGTGAGCAGCGAGGTCGATGGCCGGTTGCTCTGGCACTTCTGTGCGCCCTCAACGATCGCATGCTGAAGCCAGACATGGCCGGAGCGGGTTTGTTCAGCGTTTTAGGGTTTTGGGCTAGGGCTTAGGGTTTACAACCGTTGGTTGATGTCTTGGATTAAGAATCAAGAGCATGATGGCGAGCCTTTGGGTTCCAAGGCTACCCCTGAGCCCCAGACCTATCTTAAGCTACCCTAACTCCAAGCACGGACCTATCCCAAACTACCCTGAACCCCAAACCCCAAGCACCCAAAGACCAAGCTCAAGCCAGCATTGCCATGTTTGGCAAAGCCCGGTAGGTTCCCATCTGAGGGGTTTTGCAGAACAAGCGTTTGGGCTTAGGATTCAGGGTTATTTACGGGGTGGTCCCTATTAGCCCTGAAGCCCCAAACTCTAGACCCATGAACCCTGCGGTTGGGGATGGGATGGGAGTTAAGATCAGGGGGACCCTTGGGGAAATAGCCCTCTCAATAAGGTCCCTTTGAAGAGAGCCAGAAGTGGGGTTCAGAAGGGGTGCCCTTTAAGGGGTACCCCTAATAATACTACCTAGTTGAATGGGAGGATACCTTTGTCGGAAGGGCATTGGCGTTCAGGGTTTGGGGTTTTAGGACTTTAGGGTGTAAGAACGTTTAAGGTCTA